TTGGGGTCCAGTCCCCTTGCTCCGCGAGCAACAAAAGGGCGCCGCTGACCCGAAATGTTCGACGACCTCACAAACGGCATATGTTTTTCTTTCAGGACCAATTTGTCAAATGTGTTACTAAGGAATGGGAGAAGCGTAAGTGGGAACCTTCCTCTTCAACCGGTGAATATCACAACACCCAGAAGTATTGCTCAGCAGCCCACGAAAAAGCCCACGAAAAAACCCATTTCGCCGGATGTACATCGGCAGGGGATGACTACGGACGCCAGCAGCTGGGGGGCTGCCAGCTTTGTGTCCAAGCCAGGGAGGAGAGGAGCCTCGGCAACCGATCGATCCATTTGAAGGGTCGACGATCGATGTGCAGGGGCCCAGGGGTGGAGCTGGGAATTGGCGTTTCTGGGGATTTTGTGGTCAGATTGATGCGCCCAGCGGATTCTCCATACGTAGGGTTTGACCCCAGAACCTAACCTCTTCTATGTCTCTGTGTGTGTGTTTCTGCGGATTTTCTTTGGACGGTTTCTGGGGGTTATCAAAGTCAGTAAATGGGGCTGTTTCCCTTTAACCCAAGACTTAGGGGTGACTTTGATCATGGTAAAATAATGAGGCCAGATCCACCAAGCGTTATCTCCGTGGATAGGGTTTGACCCCAGGACCCCTTCTATGTGTGTGGGGCGGGGGTTAGATGGTTAGGGAGGGGGGGGGGGGGTTGGGGGTTGGGGGTGTTGGTTGAGGGTGGGTGGGCATGGATGTGGCCGCTTGAGTGTCCCTGGTTGGTTTTGACCAAAATGGTTGGTACTGGTAACACCCATTTGGTGGTGTTGTTGGTTGGTTGGCACCCCCAAAATGGTGGGTGGTCCTTTTCCCGTAGAACCGCCGCAAACACCGGAGCACCGAGGACCTGGATCCTCGGGGATGTGTTCCACCGCGCCTCGGCATCAGTTCCGGAGATCCGAGTTCCTAGAGCGAATCGACCCTAAGCTTTTGGTGTTTTCGTCGGAGGTTTGGTCCATGGGTCGTCATGAACCCAAAAGGTCAGGCTGTCCTATTTTCATTTTTTGGTCACGGTCCTTGGGGCAGGTGAGGAAAGTGTTCCCTTTGGGTTTCCCAAGAGAAGGGCAAGCCAAGAAGAGGGTAAGCACGGGACCCATGATGGGAACCCCGGATGAAGCAGCAGCCTTTTGCAGGGGAACAGCCCCATAGGATACATACTTAGGAACCTTTCATGATTTGTGGA